GTGCCTATAAATACCCCATCTGCTCAGATTTTTTGCCAGACAGTGGAGTCGGCACCACCTTCCCACTATGCAGACTGAAATAGCCTTGCTGAGCTTGCCTGCCTAACTCTTAACAACCCTGTTTCCTGACAACTCGTTGCCTCATGACCACTTGGCTTTCTTCAAGGGAGATTCCATTGGCCTTAGTTGCTCTTTACACACACAATCAGGATGGAAACAAACCCTCAATGCTGGAAAGAACCTCAGACATGATCCAAGCCACTCTCTCAATATACGCAAGTAGATGCAGATATTGTATATAGAAAAGTAGACAGGAAGCAAACATTTTATGAGTCCCTAGTATATGCCAGCAAGGTGCTGTGCTAGGTCTTTCAACAAGCATTCCAGGTCGATAATATTATATCCATTTGTATAGATAAGGAAGTCAAACTCAGAAAGTTAAAGAAGCCTGCAATGTAATTGCAGATAACAGGTAACAGGCAGATTGAATCTAAATTCCAATTAAAAATGATACTATCATTTATTAACTACTTACTGTGTGTTAGACACAGCTCTAAGCATTTTATTTTTATTAATTTATGTAAGATGTCCATGAAACCCTGAGATAAGTATTATTACTCCAATTTTACAGGGGAAATTCAGGCACAGAAAATTAGAAACTTGCCTGGAAACAGCCAGTAAGTAGGTGGTACCTGGGAGAAACTGGTGACAGGTAGTTATTGTCCCAGTAGGAGATACCCAGATTGGGAGGAAGGGAGAGATTCACGAAGCACTTCTGATGAAAGATGCTGTAAAGAAGATAAATGGGGCTCTGTAGTAGAAGATGATGGTACAAAATCCAGGTGGCAGAGGATTTGTAAGATACAGAGGATGCTCAGTTTTTATTTGAGGTGATGGGAAGAAATGAATGAGTTTTGAGTAAGGGGGTAACATCATATGTTATCCAGTTTTTTGTAGCTTGCTCTGAATGGCACTATGTTCAGGGCAAGGCAGTGGGGACAAGTGCAGAAGCAGAGAGGCTGGTTAGGACAGCCAGAGGCAAAAGGTAATGGTGGCTTAAAGAAAGGCACAATGGAAATGTCCTGGTCAGTTTCTGTTGCTATAACAGATTACCCAGAGACTGGATGATTTATAAAGACAGGTTTATTTGAGTTCATGGTTCTGGATGGTAGGAAGGCAAAGAGCATGGTACTGGCATCTACTTGGTTTCTAGTGAGTCTCTTGTGCTGCACCATAATATGGAGAAATGTGGAAGAGGGCACATAAAGAAGAGACAAACCATGAGTGGTGGCCTCACCTGATAGCAATCTGCTGTCAGAAACTAACCTAACCTTACACGAGGGGAGACACACTTTTCCAAGAATTATTAACTCAGTGCCACTAGAGAGGCATTAATCCCTTATGAGGATCCCTTTATCAGAATTCTCATGACCCAAATACCTCATAGAGGTCCTACCACCTCTCAATACTGTTACACTGGATAACAAATTCCAACATGAATTTTGGGGAAGACAAGTCACATCCAAACCACAGCAGGAGGCAAAGGGAAAGAGGTAGAAATTGAAATGTATTTTAGGAGATGCTGGTAGACTTGATGGAGAGAGAGAGAGAGAGAGAGGAAAAGGGAGAAATGAATTTATGACCCTAGGTTTCCAGTATGAACAACCAGATAATGAGTGCCGCTAACAAATAATACGGGAAGTAGGAGGAAGAACAAATTTTGAAGGAAAGCAATCATCAGACATGTGTATGTGTATGCATGTGTAAAGAGAGTAGCAAAGTTTATCAAAGAATGCTTGGGAGTGAGATTTTAAAAGCTCAATTTGTGTTACCACTAAGAACAATAACTTCTCTTACTCCTTGTTTTTTCCCATCTGCAACTTGGGGATAATTATATCTGTCTTTACTATTCCAGAGATGCTGAGGTGATAAATGAGATAATATACACGAGTGCTTATATGAAAGCACTTTGAAGTCTTGGGAGGATAAGAACTGTATATATCCAAGCTATCATTATGATGCCACAGAGTTTATATTTTTCCTGTATCTCCTCAAAGTCACGGAGGTCATAAGCATAACTCACCCACATTCTTTCCTTCATGTTCGGTTCCCAGAAATGAGATGAATATGCCTCTCTTTCTCCAGAGTCCCTTATCATATGGTATTCTCTTGAAAGGATTTTGCAATTACTAGTAGTTCAAGACTCTGGAAGGAAAGGATAACTAGTATAACTCTGCCTGAGTGATTTTCTTTTTACTTGGTTGATTCTTGGCTGATGATAATAATAATAGCTTACATAAATTAGAAATGTAAAGATTAAAAAGAACAAATATACTGTCTCATCTAGTCCAACATCATTCTAAGAAAGGGATTTTTTTTTTTTTAATCTGTTTGACAGTGAAAATGGCTCAGGAGGTTAAAATAACTTGCCTAAGACTTTATTTTACAGTTAGAGTAACTACAGCTAATAAGAGTAGTGTTCTTAAAAAGTATAGTGACTATGCACCAGAGGCATTCAAAGAAATGCAGCCATGTTCCCACATAATATTCATGGAATTTATGTGCTGGTTCCTTTGATCACTGTAGTCTTGGGACACACTGATTTCAGTTCTCTGAAAATGGGAATGATTACTAATTTTTTGTCTAGTGTTAAGAACTGCACCAGCTGACCTTGGGTGCTGTTTTCTGCAAAATGAAACAAGCAAACAACAAAACTAGAAATAAAAAAACAAGCTAGGCGTAGTGGTACACCTTGCAATCCTAGCACTGAGGAAGGCTGCAACAGGTACATTGCAAAACTTGAGTTCTTTGTGGGTAATTTGGCAGAATCCTACCTTGCCAGATAGGGTAGCTGGAGATGTAGCTCAGTGCTGCAGGGCCCCTGGGTTTGATCCCCATTACTGGGGTGGGAGGGAGAGCATAAAACAAGACGTGTCCTTCGCTCTCCAGAGTAATTATATGGCTCCTTTCTCTAGGGAAGAGATACACTTGCCTGGAGCAGGGGATTGGACGACGATGTGTAAAAGAGAGGGTCTTGGAGTGGTGGAGAGAAAGCTGGATTATGAATCAGGAGAGCTGGGGTTGAGTCTTGGTTCAGCATTACTTATTGTGAGAGCAGCAGAAGGAAGTTAATAACTGTAAGCTGGATCTCACAACCCTTATCTGTTTCCTGACTGTACGTTCCCAGACAGTTCTAGATTTGGAACTGTATGGCTTAAATAGTCACTTTCAAAATGCCTTGTTTGCATAATTCTCCATCCTATCCATTCCCTTTCTTCTAATGGAAAAGTGGTAGCTGTGTATATCACACTCAGCATATTTGCCTACTTAGAATAAAACTAAGGAAAGGTGACATGAAAGGTTGCTGTGAGAATGGAATAAATGCATGGAAACTGGTTAGCACGGAGCCTGGCTTACAGTGAGGATAACCATTACTCATTGTAATTTCTTCTTTCCCAAAAGGATCCTGTGTCCCTGGCTGCAGACTAGGGGATAATCTGAGGCTCCTCTTAAAAACTGTCAGCCCGGTTGGTGGCCTGGCAGGGGTATGTTGCATAACCTTTATATCCCTTTCTTCCTTATTTCTGCCTAGTTTCTGCTCACTTCTGAAGCACAGTATTCGGGATTACGACTGTAAATTCACGGCAAGTGCAAGTAAAACAACGTCAACTTTGAGATCAATGACAAAAATTGAATCTTCTCTCTCTTAATGGAGTCTGGAAATCAAACCTCCAAACCTATGGGCACCTTGTTTTTCAAGACTGCACTTCAGAGTTTACAGGTGTGCGCCCGGGGCAACCAAAACAAAGCTTTAGTGTCACGGTGGCTGCCTCCCAGGCGCAGATAAAAGAGGTGCCTTCCAGATGGCTTTGTGGCGCCGGCCCACCTGAAGTCAGACTTTGAATCCTCCTCGTTGAGGGCAGGTACGAAGCGCCTGCCATGGCTGCGTGTGGAGCCCACACCACCGATTTCCTAGTCCTCCTCTTCTCCCATTTAGAGATTTTGGATCAGCAATTCTCCAAACTTGCGCGGGTGTGCTATGGTCCCCCAGGTCCGGCTGGTGGACCGCGTCCCCCACCGATTCCACACGCCTCCCTCGGGCCCCCGAGACAGCGCTTGGCTCGGGCTCCCCCGCAGGGCCCCAGGGGGCCGGACGCAGCGAAGCCGAGCGGGGCGCCTTCCCGCCAGGGCCGCGCCCGCCTCCC